GAACGCCCGGGATCCCCGCGGCTTCCCCCTGCTCTTGCCGCCGCCGCTGCTGCTGGAGGTGCTCTCCTCCTTCCCTTTAAATCGACTCCCCTATACGAGGAGGAGGGGGAGGCGGGGCGCGAGGCGCGGGGGGGGGGGGGGGGTGGGGGGGGGGGGCAGGGGGTAAAGAGGGAGAAACGGTGGCTGTTGTTGTTGTTGTTGACTGTTAGGACGATTTATAAGATCAGGAAAGATGCTGAGGCAGGAAGTGGACGCCCAGGATATAAATTCACACTGAAGAGACAAACTCATCCCAGTGTGTGTGTGTGTGTGTGTGTGTGTGTGTGTGTGAGCCCCCCCCCTCTATGTCTCAACCTCAGTGCGTACACACACACACACACACACACACACACACGCCCTCTTCAGCGTCCAGCCAGCTTCATCTTTTATTTATATCTCTTGGATGCAGAGGTTGAGGGGAGAGGAGGCTGACACTGGGGGGGGGGGTTCTGTTGATGGTGGTGGTGTGTGTGGGTGTGTGTGTGTGTGTGTGTGTGTGTGGGCTGGTGGTGTGATCCAGCAGGTGGAAAGATTTCCCCTGAGATGGTTGAGGAGTGTGTGTCACAAGAGTCTTGTCAGGAAGACAAGAAGAGAAAAAAAAAAAAAGAAGAAAGAAACTGTAGAGAGACTGATGAAGAAGGAGGGTGATGAAGGAGGAGGAGGAGGAGGAGGATGAAGGAGGATGAAGGAGGGTGAAGGAGGAGGAGGTCAGGTTCACAACACTTCATAATCCCTGTTAGTCTAAAAATCAATGATCAGATCAATAACTGAGACGATGGCGTCAAAAACACCAACACAACATGTCCTCACATATAAAATGAAATATAAAAAATACAGCTGTCATTATTTCTTTGTAGTGTTTGTGGTTGATTCATACATTTAAACCTCATTAACCTGTTGCTAAATATTTGGCTCGACCTGCAAAAAATTACTGTCAAAAACAATCAGTCCTGATCAAAATCCCTCCAGGAACAGGAACAGGAACAGGAACAGGAACAGGAAGAGGAACTAGAAAACAACAGTTCTGTTTACGTACCATGGACTGTGATCTGGTCCGGGGGCAGAGGCTGCTGGTCAGAGTCTGACTCAGTCCAAACACATCACACAACAACTACTAAATCATTCAGGTGGGGGTTAATTCCTGGCCACTCTACAGAGACCATCAGTCAACCAGTCTCTGATGGTACAGACCATGGTACCGACTACAGTACAGAATATAGTACAGACTAAAGTACATACTACAGTACAGACCAGGGTACAGACTACGGTACAGCCTACAGTACAGACTACGGTACAGCCTACAGTACAGACTAAAGTACAGACTACAGTATAGACTACAGGACAGACTACAGGACAGACTACAGGACAGACTACAGTACAAACTACAGTACAGACTGCAGTACCGACTACAGTACAGAATGCAGTACAGACTACAGGACAGACTACAGTACAGACTGCAGTACAGACTACAGTATAGACTACAGGACAGACTACAGGACAGACTACAGTACAGAATGCAGTACAGACTACAGGAAAGACTACAGTACAGACCATGGTACAGACTACAGGAAAGACTACAGTACAGACTAAAGTACATACTACAGTACAGACCACGGTACAGACTATAGTACAGACCATAGTACAGACCATGGTACAGACCACGGTACACACTACAGTACAAACTACAGTACAGACTGCAGTACCGACTACAGTACAGAATGCAGTACAGACTACAGGACAGACTACAGGACAGACTACAGTACAGAATGCAGTACAGACTACAGGACAGACTACAGTACAGACTACGGTACAGACCAGGGTACAGACCATGGTACAGACTACAGTATAGACTACAGGACAGACTACAGGACAGACTACAGGACAGACTACAGTACAAACTACAGTACAGACTGCAGTACCGACTACAGTACAGAATGCAGTACAGACTACAGGACAGACTACAGTACAGACCATGTTACAGACTACGGTACAGCCTACAGTACAGACTACGGTACAGACTATGGTACAGACTACAGTACAAACTACAGTACAGACTGCAGTACAGACTACAGTACAGACCACAGTACAGAGTGGTCTGTACTTGCTGGTCTTTGTGAGTCCAAATTATTCAGTGACAAAAAAAAAGTTTTATTAAGAAAGTGGAAAGAAGCTGTGACGAAGTTCTAAAAGCGTGAAAAATGATGAAATTGTCCATAAATAATAGTCATCCTTTTGACATTAAATGATTAGAGTTTTTCTTCAATCATGTAGGAGTTCTGTGATGTTTATTTACAGACTGGTTCACACCCTGAACAACAGTTTGTTTTTTGTTTTTTTTACCAAACTCCGCTCTCTCGACTGACTCACCTCCAGCTTCTCGATGCGGTCCTTCAGGTCCATGATGGCCCGGGCCAGCTCCTCCACAGCCCGTGCCGTCTGCAGCTGCGCGGCCGAAGAAGAGCTCACATCATCCCCGGCCATTACGCGGCGGTTCCCGCTCCAGACCCCGATGCTTCTCTCCGGGCTGTTCCTGTCGTCCTCCTCCAGGCCGCTCTCACACTCCCCCAGCTTCCCGGTCAGTTCCCGGATGGTCCTCTGGTCCATGAGGATCTGGTCGTTCTGCTGCAGGACGGTCTGCCGGAGCTCCTCGGCGGTGGAGCGGAGGTAACTCCAGTCTTCATCACCGGCTCCGTACAGCGGCTCGTCCTCCTGCTGCTCGTGCTCCCGCTCCCGCTCCCGCTCTCTCTTCTGCTGCAGGTCCTTCGTGTTACAATCACCCACCGGCACAGGTGTGCAGATTAAGCGGCTGAAGCTGAACTGCTTGGCGGCGCCTCCTCCCGTCTCCTCGCCGAGGTTGAGCTCGTTCAGGGTCGGCACTTCCAGCCCGATGCTGCCGATTCCGTTGCCGCCGTCGTAGGACTCCGCGCCGTGGAGCGCACCGAGCGGTCCGGCGTGAGCCACGGATCCGGGCTCCAGAGGCTGCAGCAGCGTCTCCGACGTCACTGTGCCGTTCTCTCCGAGAGGCGCGGCGCGTTTACGCGGATAAACACTGGCGATGATGCAGATGACCGCGCCGAGGAAGGCCAGGGTTCCCGCTCCGACCAGAACCACCACGAACTTCATGGTTACTGTGGAGACATGTGGTGGAAAACAAACGTCACTGGTCAGTTTTACCGATGTTGTTTTGTTGTTTGTTGTCCCACAAACATCAGTACAATCTTTAGTTTGTTAACATTTATCCTGCAGTGAGGACCGGGACCAGAGCCGAGCCCGAGTCCGGGTCACCACGGCCGGATTCAAAGATGCTGAGCTGCGGTACTCACGCGGAGAGGATGTTTTTCCAGGTGTAGCAGTGACGGCACGGTTCAGTCTGACCCTCCGAGCTGCTCCTCACTCAGAGCCGCCGTTGG